CTAGAACTTTTTATCAATATTAAGGAATTATTGACCGAAAACAAGCCCATATATCTTTCTTAAAAGTTGCTTGTGAGTTAGGTTTGTCTTTTTTAAAGCTGTTCAGAGGTATTGGTAGTAGAAACTGGACCAAAATACTTGGTGATGTTTTGTATTTTTACAGTGTGTGGTCATTCAACCTGCTGTAGTTTTCCTAACTTTTGCTCGGCTCGCCCTCCGCCCCTCCAGCGCTTGCGGTTGCATAACGTCTGAAACATTTAATCAGATTAACTCTGATTAAACCAAAACCGAGTCCAGATCTGAAGCATTTCTCCTCTGCCCTCCCTTCAGACCATGACCTTCGACCACAACCACTCGCTGGACTTCCTAAACGGCACGCCGTGGTTCCTCTATGAGTGCACCATCGAGCTGGACGCCAACTACAGGCGCATCGCCCTCTTCCTCATCTACCTGTTCATCTTCATGGTGGGCCTGCTGGAGAACCTGCTGGTCGTCTGGGTCAACTGGCGGCGCCGCCACTCCGCCAGCGGCGTCCTCTTCTGCATCATCAACGTGAGCCTGTCGGACCTGATGGTGATCGTGATCCAGCCGTTCTTCATGATGGAGGTGACCCTGGACAAGGTTTGGCTGTGGGGCAGCTTCCTCTGCAAGGTCACCAACCTCATCTACGTGGTCAACTTCTACAGCAGCTCCTTCTTCCTGGCCTTGATGACCTTGGAGCGCTACCTGACGCTGACCAGACCGTCGCTGCCCACCCTGCTCCCCGTCGTCGGCCGCCAGAGGTGGATCATCTGCGCGGGTCTGTGGCTGCTGTCGCTGTTTTTGGCCCTGTTGGAGAACGTCCATGTGGATATCCTGGAGTGGGACGAACCGGGTTGCTACATGCTGCCTGAACACAACTTCACTGAGTGGTTCGTCTCCATCGCCTTCCTCTGTACGATCTTCCAGTTCCTCGGCCCGGCGGCCATCATCATCACATGCAACGTCTTGATCGCCCGGGCGGTCAGGACCGCCCCGGACGTGGAGGGCCGGCGGGACGTCTGGTTGGTCCACGTGTATTCGCTAGTGTTCGTCACCTGCTGGTTGCCCTACCACCTGGTCATGTTGCTGATGATCATTGACGATCTCGACCCCTTCATGTTCAGCTGCAACGTGGTGGAGGTCCTCTACTTCTCCTTCATTGTGGTGCAGAGTCTCTCGCTCTTTCACTGCGTCGCCAATCCATTCCTCTACAACTTCCTGAGCAAGAGCTTTCGCCGCAACCTGATCAACACCGTTATAAGCTACATCCCCAAGGAGGAAATGGCGGAGCAGGTGGAAGTGGGGCCGAAGCCCAACGGGGGCAAAGAAGACCCAGGAAGGCAGAGGAAGATGAGCAACGCAAGCACCAGCCAGTCTGATGTCGGATCATAAGGAGAAGATCATCAGGAATCAGACATTTTGAGTTATTTCAGCAAAATCTGGACTTTGGCATAAAGCAGAGGCAACTAATGGACACAACTTCCTCTCATATCCCACTTCCTGCTTATTATCCTTGCATGAATGTCATCAGTTTAAGTAGAGCAGGGCAGGAAATATTTGTTTTTCCTGCAAAGCTGCTCAGCTCCCACAGGACCTTGAGCCAATGTCTGTAATCTTCCAACACAAGAGGAAGAATAGTGCCACACCAGGAATGTGTGTAAATAAATCATCTGCAGAGTCAGACACTTACAGGCCCTTATGAGATTATAAACTTTAAAAAAAAAAACTGTTTATTTGCAGATAAAATCATGGCATACATCACTATATGCTTATTTAACATTTCTGATGTGGTAATGATCTGTGTATATGGAATAAAAAACACTTTAAACATCGACTGTCTCTGTTTAAATTGGAAAATCTGCAATCAACATCAACAATGTACTAGAAAAACTACAGATGACATTTTAATGTCCATGCCTTAAGACTCTGAAATTTGAAACATAGATTTATAATAATTCACCTTTTGTTATGAAAAGGCTCTGTTAACCTTAATTTGAAAAGCCAGCAAAATTACTTCTTCAACATTTAGATGGTATTAAATGTGATTTTGCAGTAAACAAACCTTTTATTTTGAAGTGAATTAATTAAATTTGAACAGATTACTTAATAATTTGCTCTTTTTTTAAAATAATACTTTGGATATAAAACTACATTTGAATTGGTGGTGACGCTTTTACTTTAGAAAGTATTTGAAAACTACATGAATCCCTTGTTGATTGCTTTCCAGGCTCGTTTTGAACGTTATCATTTAGCATCTTTACTTCTTACTTGGAACGTTAGCATTTTTGCTATGTTTGCTAGTAAATGTTTTACTTACAAACATATTAGAACAAGATCGAACTTGTAATGAACTTGTAATGTTGTAACTAACATTAGCGGTAGTTACAATAACATTTTATCTAACGTTAGCTAACATGCTCCGTTAGCATGTTAGCTATCAGTAGCAAACTTCTACTTAGCTTTCAGAAATTCTATGAAGTTAGGTAATCAGCTTTTGCTAATATCCGCCTAACTTCAGTTATGATGCAATAAGGTTTTTTTAAAATTACCTTTTTTAACCTTGAATTAGTTTCAAATGAGGCTACATGGATGCAGAGCAGGACCAAAGAATAGAGCGAAGCAAGAAGTTCAAACTGTCTCTTCCATCGATTATATCCCCTAACTTCAGCAACATATTCCACATGTTGCTGTGGAATATTGTCTCTGCTGCCCTGATAAAATGTCCCACAGTCCAGTCAGTGTTTTTCACACTCGTTCCAAGACTGAAATCCTTCCACAGTATAACCATACATAATGACTCTCGAAGGCTCTTGGAAGATATAAGTTTCATTTAGTTTCCCTTTGGGATTAATAATTTTTATTTATTTGTTTATTTATTTAATTGAATAGGTAGCACTTTCCTTTACTCAAATTGCAACTCTTATTCTCCCAAAAACGCAAAAAAAGTTAGCATATAATAACAGTAGCATGTTAGGTAAACTGTATTAGCTTCTTCCACTTTGCTAACTGAAATGTATGTTTTATAGTTGGATAAAATATAGCACATGTGTGCTGAACATTAAATTTTGGATAACTTTAACTATCAAGGCTAAAACTAAAGTAACTTCTGTGTTATCAGTTAAAATGCTAACTGTAGTCTAACTCATTTTTTACCTAAATATCCACTTTGATAACAGCAGCTAATATGCTATCTTTATGTGAAATGCTAATTTCCCAACACTTGTATGCTAACAGTACTTCTTATCTAGCCAAGAAACAAACACTAGCATATTACCAACAAGTTGTATTGCAATCAGGCTCATTTTAGGTATAAAAAGTATGAAACTACTCTTTAAAACTAACACTTTTCTTTGGTTAAAAAAATATTTAGTTATTTTCATCAGACACGAATGTTTACAGAAAAATAAAGAACATTTGAGGTGAACAATATGCGCCTGAGTGCGAAACTTTGGTCTTTATTCAATGTTATTGGAGAGATCAAAGATGCTGAGCAACATGTTAGGAAGCTTAGTGTTTATTTTCACAAGCCATTCAACTGATCTTTATAACATTAACTTCAATTTCTGGAATGTTTCAACAGTTTAGAAGATAAGAAAGCAGGAAATAAAAGGGGGAAGAGGAGTATCAGTTCACGGTTGGCACAATAGCAGGAAAGGACCAGGCTCTAAAGAGGTCAAAGGTCAGGTTAGACGGACTTTGAGCAGCATTTTTCCACAAGTTCATCAGCAGAAATTTGATGACGGATCGGTTTTATGGCACTCTAAACGGCGATAAATCATAGGAAACAATATTCCTAGAGGCATCAATTTTATTCATTTTGAAAACAAAGTGATATGGAAAAGTATAAAGGCATAAAAACAATAAATATCTATAAATATGAGTTAAGACAGGCGTTTCTCACAGAAATGTGTTGACGGTTACAGTGTGAACGGCTTCCTCGTTCTAAACAGATTCCTTTCTGCAAAGTCAGAAAAATATATAAGAAAAGCACTCTGACTTTTACTCTGAAGTTTAAAAAATTAAACTTTGGGACACTAACAAAAAATAAGAAAACCATTAGTTCTGGATGCTACAATGACAAGCTATATTAATAATAATGTAAATATCACTCACTGACATTAAAAACCCAACCTTAAGAAAGATTAATTTGGATAAAGACAACAGCTTTCTGTGCTTCAACAGAGATAAAAAGTTCAGTTTGAACCTGAGTGGCCTTCTGTTAGGTCACATGTTCACCAACGTCTTACATAGAGTTAAAGGATTTATTCACACATAAAAACATGTTAAATTCTTCAACAGGCACATGAGAAATGAGATATTCCAGTTGGTTCTGTTGGCTTTTCAGCTCAACCAGATCCTAAAAGTGCAACTTGACTGTTTCTTCCACAAACAAACACAGAAGTACAAAACCACATCTAAACTACGACAATGGATCCTCCAGATAATGCAAAAAGTGTTTGATTATATAGCTTATGTTTTCTGACAGTTGCCCAATTTTTCTTTGAAAGTGTTTTTATTTTGGGCAAAAAAATTTAAAATGTTATTTTTTAACAGCTGAACTAATTAATTGCTGAAAATTCTCAGTACGAGTCAAAATTCACACCAGAGTTCCCAGGACAGATTTGGACTGTTTTAAATATATATTTTTTGGAGGGATGGGGGAAATACTACGAATTTATCAAATGTTTGCAAAATTATTGGATGAAAGATGAAACTGCAAAACACACAAAAAATGCAACAGAAAAATGCTGCAAACAGCAAAAACAACGGCAGGTTTAAAATGCTGCAAACTCGCTGCACAAAACAGAAATCGGGCCATTATAAATAAAAAACAGTAATAAAAAAATGGAGTACATTTTCACCAAAAACTCAGAAATCCACTTTTTAAATTTTTTTCTAGTAAATTTTTGACTTTTCAAACTCAGAAATCTCCATGTTTTTTTCCCAGATATTTTCTGACAGTAATCTGAAACCTTCTGTTCTTAATGTTGTCAGTGTTTCAGGCGTCGCCGGCGGGCAGCAGCGGCTCCTTGGAGTGGTCGTTGTACATGAAGGTCTGCTCGATGTTGAAGTCAGCCGGCAGGTGGTCCTTGTGTAGCTCCATGTGCGACGACACCAGCTTGAGGGTGGAGAAGTAGAGTCCGCAGACGGTGCAGCGGTACATGAGGGCGCCGGCGTGCGTCTTCAGGTGGCAGATCATGGTGGATCGGCCCCTGAAGAACCGCAGGCACACCTTGCACTGGTATGGCTTCTCCCCGGTGTGGATCCGCAGGTGGTAGGTGAACTCCCCCGAGTGGGCGAAGCGCTTGCCGCAGTAGCGACAGCGGTACCACTTCCCGCGGATGGCCGCGGCCACAGCGGTACTGTCCTGCCCCGCTGCGGATGGGAAGCCGAGCTTCTCTGGTACGCTGAAGCCGATCGCCATCCCCAAACCCAGATTGATCTTAGAGTGGCCGCTGATGTCGCGTGGAGAAGAGGAAGAGGAAGATGGAGGACAGTCCAGAGAGTGGTCGGCTTTCCGCTTGCCGAGGCAGCCACCGCCACCGCCGCCGTCGTTCAGGGACTCTGAGGTGTGCATTGCGAGGTGGAGCTGGAAGGCAGAGGAGGAGACAAACGTCTGTGGGCACAGGAAGCAGTGCATCTCCTCCGCTTTGTGTACTAGACGCTGCTTCTCCTTAGCAGCCGCCTCGTCGGCATGAGCTGCCATGTGTCTGTCCAGCGGGGGGCGCTCTACAAAGCAGCAGGCACAGTGAGGGCAGGTGAAGACGGGCAGGGAGAGGTGGGCAAGGGCATGCCATAGCAGTGAGCAGAGGGAGAGCTGAGGCAGGTGGCAGACCCCACAGGTCAGGGTCTGCAGACACACGTGGCTCAGCAGGTGGTCTCTGAGCGCCTGAGGAGGAACAGAAGCACAAAAATAACCATAAAGGCTTAAAGGTGACCCATTATGGTTCATTGAGCAGGTTAAGATGGCTCTATGAGCAACATAAAACATGATTAATACATTTTTTGCACAAATCAATCTTAGAGAAAGGTTTTAGTCAGAATGAACTGTTTAATGCGTCTTGTCACTTTAAATCCAAATTCTTCTGGCCACACCCCCAACTCAATGTTTACACTCGCACATTAAAATAGCTGCAAATTGAAAAACAGAAGTGGAGCCTCCTGCACAACCAACAAGAATGCAGAAAGTGGTTTCAGGACGCCAAGTCAACAACAAAACACTTGTCTTTTCCAGCAGCCATTGTATATCAGATGCAGCGGTTAAACTAGCTGACCAAATGTACTCCTGTTGCTAGGTAACACGCCGTAAAACACGTAAACATTTTTATTTACATTTTTATTTAATTAGAAATGTTAATAAAAATTAATTTAAATATTTTTTTCAGAAATTAAATTTTAAAAAATCTTATTTTGATTGTGTTTTTTCCCCCTTATTCTTAAGAAAAAAATTCCTTTTAATAAATAGACTGCATGTATCCAGATGTTAAAAAAACAAACAAAAAAAGACAGAATATATGTCTATGAACATTTTTCTAAATTATTTACCACTTTATTTTATTATTTTCCACAAAAACTCCAACAAAATCCATTAAATTTTGTCTCACATGCCTATCTTTGACACTTACCTGGAAGTCCTTGCCCAGGGTTTTGGTGCACACCGCACACTTCAGCTCTGAGCCCTGTCCGCTGCTCATGAGCGCCCCCTGCGGGATGCTGTAGGTAGCCGCCGTCTGGTGATGGTGGCGCAGCAGTTTGCTCTGGCTGCAGAACTCCTGCCGACACATTTCGCAGGAGAAGAGCTGAACGCTGACGTGGGAGAGGGAATGGGCCACGGCGGCGGCCCGGTCCGGGAACGAGGCGCCGCACAGCCGGCAGTGGCCCAGCTCCGTCAGGTGAGACTCGGCGTGTCGCTTCACCGCGACCGGGTCTGCAGGGAGCGGCACGGAGCAGGCCTTACACGACAGCTGGTTTCTGCTCACCTGCAGGAGAAAAACCACAAAAACCCATCAAAAAACAAGCAGTGGCTTCTGCTCTGTTGACCTTTAACCCTCAAAGGAAACTTTAATTATCTTTAGGTTCCATTTAAAGTCCATTAAGGTGATTGTAGATAGAAAAAAATGAGTAAATTTATGCCAAAAAGACCTTTGAAATTTGTAGATTAATTTCTGGAATTTTATAGAATTTTTTTTTTATTTCCGACTTTCAAATATTGAAATTTTTCGACTTTTCAACTTGACAAAATTTCCAAAAGTCGAATTCAAACTTTCCAAAAGTATTTTTTAAATTGCTTTTAAACTTCATCGTTTTGTTTTTTTATTTTTCTTTGTAATTTTAAACTTTTCAAACTTAGAAATTTCTATCATTTCTAGACAACTTCTGAAATGAATATCATAATTAGACATTTTTCTAGCAAATCTTTAACTTTTCAAACTCAGAAATCTCCAAGAAGTTTCTAGAAAGTATCAGATTAATCTAAAAATTTACCTGTTTTTTTAATCTCCTTTTTAATCCGATTAATCGACAGAATAATCATAGTGAGATGCTAATCTGCTGCTAAGCAACAAACTGTGTTTACCAGGCCGCTCCTGCTCCCTTCGTCTCTTGCGCCGTTCTCCACACACACCAGATCCTCTTCCTCATCTTCCTCCTCCATGTAGGTCTCATCGTCACTCAGCTCGATTATTTCTCCAGCCAGCTGTCGCCACTCCTCTTCCTCCATCTCACCTTTACTCTCCCTCGCTTCAACCTCCTCAAACATCAGCACACAGTCTCCCTGTTTGCTCGTCACTGTCGCCCCCTGCAGGCGGGCTGGGGGCTCCCCAGAGGAGGAGGTCGGCGCTTCGGGTCCGAGCTGAGCAGAGGAGTCCGGGAGGGAGCAGAGGTCAGAGGGCGCAGGGTTGCATCGCGTCACGCAGTCGTCGCAGCTCTGCTCGGTTTTCAGCTGCAGCGCCGGGCGGCTCGGCATCTGTCCATATCCAATGTGGGACTGGAAGTCTTCGGCCTTCAGGTCCAGAGTCAGACCGGCTTCCTGGGTTTCTAACCTGCCGGTTCTTGGTTGGAAGAGAGCAGAGAGGGGCAGTAACTAGCTACATTTACTTGAGTAACTTTTTTGGGGGAAAAAATATACTTTCATGAGTATTTTTACTACACTGTACTTTTTTACATTTGCTTGAGTAATTTATTTATGAAGTATTTATCCTCTTACACGAGTCAAATGTCTGGATTTTCTTCCCACTGAATGAAAACCAAACATGTTTTAACCAAACATTCCCCAGACCCAGAAACACACCTGCAGTTTCTGTTAAAGTTTCATCAGTTTTATTTTGAAAGAAACTGATTTTAAAAAAAATATTTTACCTGGTTTTATTTTTTGTTACTTACATGAATTATTGTCATTTCATTGTAAAAATACCAGAATCTCCACTTAACTATATATTTTGATCAGTCTGATGATGTAAATTTTAAATATTACATTATTGACCATTTGATCAGTTACTCAGTACTTCTGAAGACTTTTTATCACATATTTTTTACTCAGTAATTTATTGGATGGATATTTTTTCCTTTAACCGAATACAATTTTTGTGTACTCTACCTACCTCTGGAAAAGAGGTGAAGGAGCTGCAGCGGGTGTCGGCGCAGCAGACTGACCGACCGATGAGGAGAGGGAAGAGCAGGATGCTGCGGAGGAGCACAACGAGGGATCAGAGGTCACGCCGCCACTGATCAACCCCGAGTCCAGCAGCAGCTCTCCGTCTCGACCCGCTTTAGCAGAAACCTGCAAGTCCGGAAAGGTGGCATGGCACGCCCGCACCAGCTCTCCGACACCGAGCCTCTCCGCCAGCTCGTACAGCACGCCAACGTCGATGAGGTCGATCAGGATCTCCCCTGTGTAGACAAACGTCAGAACCTTCTCGAAGTTGGCTGGCGAGACAAACTCCAGCGAAAACGCTGGCGATGTCGTGGTCGGCGCCCGGCTGAACAGGTTGTGAAAGTACGTGCCGGCGCAGGCCAGAACTGCGCGGTGCGCCGCAAATGTTCGGCTGCCAACCTGCAGGAACACATCGCAGTACTGACGTATCAGCCGGCAGCGGTTGAGCTCCGCCAGCAGGGTGGCGGCGTGGCTGGGACCCTTCAGCTGGATCCTCATCCCTGCTGCTGCCGCTGAACTTCTACTGACCTCCTGGAGAGAAAAACACACAGAGGTTAGCTCAACACTGCAGCAATTCTTCTCTAGAAGCCGATTTATTATGCAGGGTTAAAACAATTAATCAAATTAATTGTGATTAATCAAACTAGTTTAGTAAATGATTAATGTTACTGAAAGAACACACTCAATGCAGTAATTAAGCCAGAAATGTATAAAAACATTTTATATTCAAGATAAAAAACAGCATGTTTGTAAATCTATTCTATGCAGAACTCCTCAAATATCATTTTAGCTTCAACTGGTTCAAATTCTGTAGAAAAATAAATCTTACTAAGCACATTTTGCTATTCACGTATGAATTGATTAATCCAAAGAATATACTTTGTTGATGTTACATTGGGCAGAAAGTGCTGAAATGTTCACGTTAAATGTATTTTTTATTTATTTTTTGCTGCAGATGCATCCTTTGCTGTAAAGATTCAAGCCGTCATTGCATATTAGGCAATGAAACGTTTATTTTAGAGGATGTTTTAAAAAGACGCGGGTAGACAGTCCGTCTCTAGGCAACCGCGACAACAGCGTCGGTCCGTAGCGTTCTGGAGGTCGTTTAGCTCCCGCAACGAGAATTTAACTGACCTTAATATTTCCTGTGTTTTATTTTGGTTAGTATTGTTACACTTAGTGCTGATATGTGTGTGATAGGCGTGTCTATGGGACATGTATAGAAACAGGGAACAAATCGCGTCCCGTATCGGTTCAATATGGGACGCAACATTTAACAGCCAAATACGGGACGATTCCGTATTTTACGGGACGGGTGGCAACCCTAGCTACAAGCCTTACCTATACAAAATTACCAGTAATTAATACTTAAATTAAATCTATACAATATATGAGCTTCAGTTTTAAAGATAAACTGATATAAATAAACTTTTATTGAACCCGATCTGCAGCTTTGAATAAAACTAACGGAGCTCAAACACATCCAGACCATCTCCGCTCACAAACACCTCAAACCCGCCACTTACGCTCGGTTTACGTCAATAAAACATCATTATTATTGTTCTTGTCATTACTATTATTATCATAAAGACTTACCCATTGGAAACATCGTCTAAGCTGAAAAAACGCTCCTGTTTTCCTTTGTTTTCAAACAGACTCAGGTGGCTCTCCACGTTAATTATAGTACCGTTTGACGAGCAGTCGCATGTTTATGACGTATGACGTTAAGACTAGACCGGAGACCTCGCCCTCTAGCGTCTGGAGGTGGTGCTGCAGACAAAAAAGCAACCGAAAGAAAGAAAGAAAGAAAGAAAGAAAGAAAGAAAGAAAGAAAGAAAGAAAGAAAGAAAGAAAGAAAGAAAGAAAGAAAGAAAGAAAGAAATAGTGTCTTCCCTTTTTCCTCAGCTAGGAAATATTTGTTAATATCTTTCGTTTTATAATTAAAACAAGGTAAAGTACAATTAAATCACTTTCTTTTTCACAAATAAATACAAAATGAGCTCAGACGTCATCATGTGAAAATATGTTAAAAATGAACTGAATATTTAACAAAATGTCCTCTTTTTTATGTGCATACTGTTTACAGAATGTTGACGTGCCATAGAAAAGGGAAGTACCTCACCATGCAGGGGGAACAACAACAACAAACCATAGTGTGATATGAATCAAGTATACATTTCAAAATAGAAGCACAAGTTATAGACAGTATGATTTTGGACTAATGTGTGCAAAAACCATTTTCAAGTGGATGTACAGCATAAAAACTTTCCCGTTTTAGCCTTTGTAAAGCAACTGTTGTGTGCGCTGGTGTGAGGATGTTTCAGGGAAAAATGGCTCTGCAGACACAACTTCAGTGAAACAGTGAAGGAATTTATTTCAATTAACAGCCTGTTTCACGACAAACGAACCATGAGGAACCTCAGTATTGAATACCTGTTTATCTTTAAGCACAAACTCTTTTATAGACCTCTGGACAGCACACATACCAAATTTGACATTCCCCAACATATAGCTCTAAATTTCAAAACTGATTTTTTCACATACACACTTTCCTTTTCTGGTTTTATTTAGTTTGTGACCTCGACTATGGCTGGGCGATAAATTGATTTTATTGATTAATCAGTTTTTTGTTTTACTTTTGAAGATTTCATTTTTGTAAACTTTTTTTGAACCATTTATTACCAGTTATATTCTCATAATTAAACAATTTAAAAGAAAATCTCTGTAGCCTGGCTCTAACACTCACAGAAGGGATGATAAAAGCCAGTTTATAGATATTAATTTGTAATTTATTTTTTAGAAAAGAAAGAGAGCCTCAACAATCAAGTTCCATACTTGTCCTTGTTTGATTTCCAACCTCAAGAATAATTACATTTTTGTCAATAAACTCTTTAAAACTGCCTCCATGAAAAACAAAAACGACCAACATACGAGGAATTCACTTCAGAAGGGCAAAATTACAAACTGTGAAGGGAAACACAAACAAAACAATCCCGTTATTGCTAATAAAAAATGTTTTTATTTTCATTTAAGTCATGAAGAATTCACATGATTCACAAAGTGTCCCAAACTGCTTCGTACTTGACTTTTTAAAACCATGAGATCAATACACAACAGTAATATAAATGTGAGTAGCATCTTCATGTAGTCGTGTCTGCGATCCAGAATAAAATGTTTCAACAAATGGTTACATACTGCATGTTCACATCTGCTCACTGCGCTTCGTGGAATGTACGGCAATAAGAAATTATAAAAGACAATGAAAAACAAACCCAACATATTTTCAACAAACTTTTTTTTGTTTTTTTTTTTACAAAGCTGAGTCCCTTTGGGTGCATTTTCGCTGAACATTGCAGTTGTTGTATAGATTTTGCATCTCTGGTTGGAACAAAGATTTCGTTTTTCTAGCTGTATTTTCTCTGCCGATTCGTTTTCAGGTTTTGTTCTTAAAGCCAAAGAAAAACAAAAATTTGGTCCAGTCACAAGAAAAATCCTCGGATGATGAGCGCGCTGTCGGCTGACGCAGTTCACACTTAAAGCTGTTGCTCTTCATCGTCACAGCTGGATTATTGCACTTCATCGGGAGGAAGTGGGACTGAAGCGGACAGACTGGCTGCGCTAAGAATGACAGAAGACGGCTACGGCTCTACAGGACGGCATTTCAGCAATACGTTAGTGATCGACTCACCGGATGAATATTGCTTTCATGTTGTTTGATATGTTGTTCAGTCTTCAGTAACTGTTTATTTTTTTTCTGTCTTTTTACCCATTACGTTGTTTTGTCCCGTCATGTTTTAACAGATGTCTGAAGTTCTGGGCGTCCGTCCGGTACGTCCGGGCTACGACACCCACTTCCTGGAGCTGGTCCGGCCCAGGCTGGCAGTGCTGGAGCGGCGGGAGAGGACCGGCGTGGCGGCGGTGGCGGCAGAGGCGGTGGGGGACGTTTCATTGGAGCACCCATGTTGAAGCAAAATATCCATGCAGCCTTTGCTCCCGGTTTTTCTGGCGATCATCATGGGCGTCTGACCTTGGCTGTCCTTCGCTTTCACATCGATCCCATACTGTGAGAGAATAAATACGAGAGGAAACACTTAAAATTCCTTAAAGGGGCAGTGTTATGTGTTTCCCAGGCATAAAGAGCCATTTTATAGCACCATGTTGCCTTCAGTTATTACAAAAATGGTGTAGATATGAAATTTAACTACATAATTTAACAACTTGAAATTGGGCCTCTGTCTCTTTAAGAAACTCCTGCTCTTTCTGAAACTCCGCCTACTTTCCACTGGCTGAATGGTTGCCATGGAGACTAAAGGCTTTCTCAAACATGCATTAAAGAATCAAGGCAACATTAGGTATGTCTTTAATGAGGGAATAACATTATAGCATGATATAAAGCTCAAAAACAGTCAACTTTGGATAATATTGCTCCTTTAAAATTTTTATATTTAACATAGAATAAGAAATCGATGAAAATCCATTGGATTTAAATCAGTTTTTCTCTTCATTTTCTGTTTCCATTTTATTTTCTTCTCAGTGAAACTTGATTAGTCATAAAAAAACAGCAGCGTTACAGTTCATTTCTGTTGTTTTAAATCTTGAAGAGACGTGGCTTGGCCTCTTTTCTTTGTTCTTCTAAAAATAAATGTTACCAGACATCTAAGGTTTCTTTCAGGGTAGCGGTGGATAGTACAAACAGAAATACACCCACCCAGACGAGCAGCTGGGTCATGACCACGTCTCCCAGCTGGCAGGCGGCGTGCAGAGCCGTACGCGACGGCGTGGCGGCCAGCTGTGCGTTGATTTGCTCCTTGGTGCTGTGGGCCAGAAGCAGCAGCAGCCGGGGCAGATCCCGGTCGGTCACTGCGGACAGGAGCGACGCCGGCACGCTGTCCTCCGAGGCCGACCGTAGAGGAGCAACAAAGGCGCGCTGCTCATACTTTGCCCGGATCCAGGACTCTCTTTCCTCCCTGGTGACACGGAAACATCACAGGACTGCATGAAAACATTGAACAACGTAGAGGAAACCTCCATGTTATGGTGAGGAACACACTTTTTATTCTGGGATAATAGTTTGTTATTCAAGATAATTTATACAAGACTCAAATTTTTTAGCTTTTCAGCAACTAATGCTCAGTTTTAAAGAGTTTTTGTACTTCCATTTGGGTTTCTACTGTTTCTAAAAACAGCCTATGCGTTATAAAAAACAAACATCCAGACGTTTTTTTGGCAGTCTCAAAACTGTTCCAAAAACATCACAAATGTCAAGTCACATTCGATCAGCAATGTGTTACCTAGCAACCCCAGCCGAGTTCTGCTGTTAACTAGCAACCTCAGTTGAGTTTAGTCAGCTGGTTTTACCGCTGTATGCGCTGCACAATGGCTGCTTTCATTTACCCAGTTTGGTATTAAAACGTTTATTTACCAAACTGAAGCTCTAAACCTTGTTGGTTTGGTTCAACCCACCGTGTTGCGTTCGGCGTGGGTTTGGTGCGGCCCTGAGTGCAGCTCTCCCACACGCTGTTGGCCATGTGGTTTCCGATGGCAGCCAGAACCTGCGTGAGTTCCCCCGGCCAGTCGTCCAGGTCCAACGAGCGAACACGAGACAGGTGGGTCCCCAGGTTCCGGTGGATCCCCGAACACTCGATGCAGATGAGGGCGCCCAGGTTCAGACTGGCCCAGGTGGGATCTGCAGGGACAAGAGGAGGTGAGTCTGGTTGCAGCACTGAAGCAAAAACATAACACTGCAAAACCACAAAATATTACCAAGTATTTTTGGTCTAGTTTACTTACAAGTAACTTTTCCTGTCCTGTAGCTTGCTGAAAAGTTACTTGTAAGTTAGTTTTGTATTATCTGAAAAGCACTGAGATCTTTGTTCTAGAAATACTTGGTAATATTTAGTGTTTTTGCAGAGTAAAAAGTGAACTTACTTGATGCTTCGCAGTCCACACACAGGTTGTTTCCTTTGGTGTTTCGGATGGCCTGCAGCGCCACGGCCTCGCTTTGACTGCTCCTCCGTGCCTGGAAACAGAAAGTATCAATCATTTCAGTCTCACAAGACACAAAACTGGGCGACATTTGACCTCAGAAAAGCTGATTTTCTTGTTTTGCTGCAAAAATATATTAATCTGGAGCAAATTTATTTAAATTACAGATGCAGAGATACAAGTTCAGCCACACAGGAAGACAACTGGACACCCATCAGGGTCCAACACGAAGACTAAAGGTTTAGGCTCCATCAAGACCAGCAAGACTTCGCTGGATGATAAATTACCCCAGAAATTATTGCAATAAATAATAATATTGTTGTTTTGACACTATTTTCAAGTAATGTAATGATAATGGCATAATAATGCAAACACACTGTCTCAAAGATGAATAAACTTTAAATTCTAATGAACATTTAATATTGCAACTGGAAGACATCTTAAATATTCAAAATAAATAAATTAAAACATCCAAACTCTGGTCAGGAGCTTCTGTTTAGTTCTGTCTACATCTGGGAACCTTTCCAAACCAAAGAGCCGTTTTTGCTCCAGTTCTCACTCAATAACATTCTCAAAAACAACTTTAAGATGTCTAAGAAATATTTACTCTAGGAAATTTGTGGTTGTTTGTAAAGAACCACCATTTCATTTCTGTTTTTAGGTTTTGAAACAAAGAAAAAATATATATATTTACAAAAAGATGCCTGATGCATTCATTTTCTGTAATGGGGGAAAAAACCACTGAGCTCCTTTCAGAATGAGCTGCTTTAGGGCCTCTGTCACTTTAAATCCAAATAAGCTGCTGCTGGCTACTCCAGATGGTTG